ATAATGTACTCAATAATAATACTTTCATTAAAATACATTGATAGTAAAGTGATTTATTTAAATTTTGAATGTAATTCAGTAACATGTACAGAAAGGAGTTTTAAAAAGTGTATCATCCTGAAAGGTTTAAAGGATGATAGCTCTATGATAAGTTCCTAATCTCCCATCTTTTTAAATACAACAAAGAGACACGAGTAAACATTTGAGGAGGGTCAAGGACCTGTTCCATAGTATTCATAACACAGAGAAAAGGTATAGCTCCTCCAAGACCTAAAAACACTAGTGGGAGGTGGAAAGAGAAGGCTGAATGTAGAAAGATAGGGAAAACCTAGGAGAAAATTATCTATGTGACTCAAAGATTTTTTACAAAATGAGTCCATAAGTGCACAAAGTGGGAAAGTGGAGCTCCAACTGAATCAGATTCAAGATGTTGTTCCAGAAAATATTTCCTCCATGATATGCAATGTGAGAAAGTGACAACAGAACAAGAAGCAGGGGAAGGTGTGACCCTACAAGGCTCACAAGGATGAGAAATCTGTTTGGAACCCTACACCGAGCAAATCCAGAAAGTAACCAGAGATGACTGTTGACAAGCTGTCTCATCTTTAGCTTTCCAAAAAAATATAAGGTTGAGAATTCTGGATATAAGATTACAATGGAACCAATCACCTGGTGTACAATGGCAGTAATATCATTTACCTTTAGATTGCCTCTTGTCACCAGTGAAACAGTAGAGACGACTCCAGTTATGGAGTGTCAGGACCTCAGGAGGAGTCAGAAACATGGATATGTAAATTAACAGTCAAGTAGATCCATGAAACTATTAATATTTTTTTTTTTATATATTAAATAGATCTGATATGTCTATGGTACTTAGGCCTTGGTCACTAATGTAATGACAAAATATTCTGATTAAGTATTGGGTAAATAATGATGAGGAATATTCTTATCAAACAAACCATACTTCTAACCTTGCAACATGTCCCACATCTTGTAATCTGAACATAAGGTGAAGCAAAATTAACTGAACCAAAGAAAATAATTTGAATCATAAGTTCTAACTGAAATATTTAAAACTTTGCAACTTTCTTCTATGACATCAAGAAACTAAAGGGAAGAAAGATTATCAAAAGTTTAAATAAATGAACACAAAATTCCATAATTAATTATGAAAAAAAAAAAAAAATGACTAAATCAATAGTAGGTTCAACAAAAGAATTAGCTTTTGATAATACACAAGGTGCAATGAGGCCTTATGGGTATAAAGGATGTGTTGCCCTTTTGGTGAAGGGCTACAGTTTAAAGCTAATTGCATCATACACTGACACAGTACACATTAATGCAACATCAAGTTTCATCCAAGTCTTGGCACATGCACAAAAACCTTTTTAGCAGTGACGCGAGTTAACAACTATCAGTTCTGTGGACAGGTGAGTAGCATTTATCAAGCATATAATTATTTAATATGGTGTAATATGCAGACTCCACTTGTAGTGAATGGTATAAAAAACAATTCAGTATCTGAGTATAAAAAATAGTACCAAAATGTTTTCTATAAAACACAAATTGTGATGTCAATCTCACCTTCATAAGCTGTAATATCCTCTTTGGTAAGAGCTGTCTTCTTGCAAGTAACAGGAAATCCAATGGCTGACAAAAATGATGTGTTCACAAGTACTGTTTGAGTTTTTGTTGTTTGGTTGGTTGATGATACATCAGAACTGGAAGGAGTAGGCAGTAAAACAATGTCACTGCTAAAATGTTGCTGTTGTGGCATGGTCAATTGTTCGTCTGCTCTGGACAGTTTTTCAGCTTTACTTGGTGTTTGAACACAGGTAGTCACATTAGGATGTGGAACTTTCACAGAAGACACAGTTAAAACAGAGGAGGATACACATGACACAGATAATGATTCTATACTAATTTTGCCAGTTTCTGAATACATCACACTTGTTTCAGATAACTTGGTATTCAGTGAGGTTGAGGGTTCTGACTTTACAGGTTGATTCATATTACTTTGTAAACATACAGTACTAACAGGCACTGAACAACCACTCTTACTGAACATTTCACTCCTGCTACACTTTCTGCTGCCCATTTCAATATCATCAGTTATTGGTAAATTTCTTGGTAAATGACAACTTCTTAGTATTGACATAGAATCTGCTAAACTAATAGAATGAGCTCCCATGGAAGATGTACTGAATTTTGCTTTATTTTCTTCTTTTTTTGGACTAATTACAACAGCTGCATTAGGTCCACGCAATGATATATGAAGAGGAGGTACCCTTGGTTCAGAGGAACTCATCAACCCTGTTTTTTTAAAAGAAGGAATACTGACAAAAGATACATCAATTTTATGAGGTGATTGTGATGAATATCCACTATCTTTTTCAATCTTACCCTTTTTCTCCTTGTTTTCACTTTCCTTAGCTTCACGCAGCGTTTTAGGATCTAGTTTTAACCTAAGTTTCAGCATTTCTCCTGGACTATTGCTGTTAGCTCCTGAATCTCCCCGTACCATTACTTTAGTGCTATGAATATTAGTTTCTGTTTCTGGATTAGTTTCTGGAGACTGTGACACATCTGTAAGAGACTTACTTATCCCAGAGTCTGTATCTGATAAAAGGTTGTTGTCTTTACCATCATCAGAAGGACTTCGTTCAGACTGTCCATTCTCAAATGTTTCCATTTCAAACTCTGGAAAAGGTGGAAGTGAACCAATGGACTCCTCCTCTTCTTCATCACTTGGCATTGGCTCTAGCTGACCTGTAAATGGATTGATAAGGTGCTTAATTTTACCTTCAGAAGAGGGAGGAGGAGATGGCAGATAACTGGTTTCTGAGACTAGAACTGATTCTGGTGGCTTAGATGGTTCTTGAAGCTCAGTACACATATTTTTTGTATCCTGAAGCACAGTTTTGTTGAGTGCCGTAGAAATAATAGACCTAGAAACGTGAGGTGAGCCAATATGGGTAGAAAAAGAAAGGCTGCCAGTATGTACTTGAGGTTGACCTTGTGCTTGGGGATGGATGATGGGGAAAGTAGAAACTGGTGGTGACAGTGGAATGTTTGGCAGTGAAACGCTAAAAGACAAGCTGTTGAGTACACCCAAATTTTCATAGTTTGATGATGTTGAAGGAAGAGGTTGGTTGCAAATTGTAGTAACACTTGTGTTTTGACCAAAGGGAGAAACAGATTTTGAAAATGATAAGGACACCTTTGGATTATTTTCTCCTGTTGGAACAGAATCTTCCCTGTTAAGTTTTTCTTTGGGTTTACGTGGCTTACGCTTTCGTTTGGGAGGCTGCTTAACATCTACTGCAGGGGGTGGCATTAACAGATTAGTGTGTTGTTGTCCTTGCTGCCCATCATTTTGAAGGAGGTTTACAAGTAATGGACTTGAGAGAGCAACATTTGCTCGAGTACTATTGGAAGTAGATGGGAGAAGGGTTGAGACACGACTGACAAGATTACTGAATACAGTAGGTGGATGAGGAGGGGACTGCTTATAAACACCACATGTGCCAGCCTGAAAAGATCCAGCAGAAGATTTAGGTGAAGCTTTCAAAACAGTTAAGTTTGGATGACTTGAAGATCCAAGAGTTAAGTGAGATGCATTTCCTTGGCCATGTTGAAGAACAGCATGTTTTGCTGTCATAGCATGAGTCATGCTCGCAAACGGAAATGGACCAAAACTGCTTGGTGTCCGAGCCTGATTCAAATGAGTACCACGAGAGGAACCAGCAACATTTGTCTGTAAAAAGGGAATGGGCTCATTTGTTGCTGGAGCAACAACATTAGGGGACTTAAAACTAGCATTTCTACTGACAAAAGACATGCTGCTTTGCAAATGTAGATCAATAGAAGTGGATCCCTCTACAGGTATAAGTGAAGAAGATGCAGATGTTCCAGCAGCTACTGATGCCATACTTCCCTGCTGACTCAGGTAATGTGCAATATTCTTCCGTGTTAATTCAGCATTGCTTGGGCCTGGAGAACCTTCCAAACTGGTTGCATCACAGGCAACTGATGAACTATTGCTTAACTGAGCAGCAGGTGAATTTGAATTTTTACAAAACACTATCTCATGTGAATCATTATAATGGCCTGCCAAAGTTAGCGTGATCACCTGAAAAAGTAAAAGTTTAGAATAAATTCAATGGAGATTAAGTTATTTTTATTGAGCAAAAACTAAAAAAAAAACAGAACGAAATTTGAGTTCATACTTCACAGTAGGTATATAAAATGGAAAGGAAAGTTCTGCAATCTTTAACTTTTCAACATAAAGCAGTCTTTTGTTGATACAAAATAGAACTTAGTACTTTCAATGTAAAGGAACTGTAATTCAATTAATATAATAATTTGGAAAGATATTTTTCATTGCCCAAGTTGTTTCATGTGGTTTTTTTTATACTTTAACAAATATGGCATTTAATTTTGCACACCTTTTTGTATGGAAGACAATGATAATGGTGCTAATGTGGTTTATAACTGAAATAAGCTAGATCGCATTTCATATAAAACAATAGTGTAGCATCTCATTTGCTATGAGAGCAAGTACTTCCAAAATCAAAAACACTTGCAAAAAATAAAAATAAAAAATTACATTTCAAACAACATAGGGCATCTATATGACAATAAACAATGAAAAAAAAAGATGCTCAAGAACATGAAATAGTAATTACTCACCTGGTCCCCTTCTATTTGTACAGATAATATACCCAATTCCCTCAGGACATGATCTCCTCTTTGGGCTAACTGGCGCAACCTCTGAGCAGCTTCATGTGGAATATTAAAAGTAACCCTTACACTGTTCCAGGGTTCCACCTTTGTCACACGAAATGGCTTTTCCTCTGCAATGACAAATATATTTACAATTGCCATGTGTTTCAAGATAAGAATTCATTAAATAAGAGAACAAAACATCATTAACAGTGAGAATAACCAACAGATAAAACAATGTCAAAATTGCTGAAGAACTTTAACTCTTTCAACCCAAGCTTGGTTCCTGGGACTAAACTCGCAACCATTTTGTGCTTGTTATAATTTTCATGCTATAACTTTTAAATTAGTAAGCGAATGTTAACAAAATTTGGCAATTTATCAGTAAACATTACAATGCTTTCATACGCAAAATATATAATTGTTTTAAGAAGTCTTAGGGTCTGTAAAGCAATGTTTCTCTCATGCCTTTTTTTTTTCTTTTCACATCTTGCCTCTCTATCATGCAAAGTAATTTTTATCTTAACATTAAAAATACTTTTATGCATCAGAAAATTTTGAAATTTCAGATGCGAAATCTTTATAATGTCCAAATAGTTATCAAACGTTTCTTAAAAAAACTTTATATTTTATCTGTTATTTTCAGTAATTAATATCTGTACAGATTCGTTAAATTTGATCGATCTCGCAACCACCATAAAAAATTAGGAAATGAACATAAATTATGCATCTTTCATTCTAGAATGAACACAAATTATAACACAAAAACATAAACGTTTAGATCAAAATAGCTTAAATCTCATAACTTTATACATTTATATATACTTATTATTTTTATTATACTGACCATTCACCCATGCCTGACTAACAGTACGAAAGTTACAACAACAAGGCTCACGTGCACGCATGCTACTGTATCAAATAACATAAAGGTGACATTTGGTCTGTACAAAGTAACTTGTTTTGGCTGTGTTTTAGTCGACAAGTATTTTGTAAAATACAGTCACATTTCAATTAATATATATGTATGTATATAGATTATTGCTATTTTGAAATAAGTTCTTAAAGTTATTTTTCCTAAACACAGAACAGTAAATAAAGAAATAAGCCCCCCAGTGGCACAGCGGTATGTCTGCGGACTTACAACGCTAGAATCCGGGTTTTGATACCCGTGGTGGGCAGAGCACAGATAGCCCTTTGTGTAGCTTTGTGCTTAATTACAAACAAATCTACAAAATAAAGAAATAAAGCAAACAATTATCTCTTTTTAGTTACGACCTTTGTAATCGGGTGCTGCTTGATGTAGGTTGCTAAGCCTTTAAAAATTTTGCATGTGGAAGACATGAAACAAAATATTTTTTTAGGTTTTTATATATACTTTTGAATAACTAAAAAATCATAAATTACTATATCAATACCACAGAATTCTACTATGATTTATCAAGCATAGTAACTAAGCTGTATTTGGGTCTAAACAAATTATGAAATTTCGAGCAGACTAAAGACACAACGTACCTCATTGAAATCTTGATTTAAAAGAAAGAAATGACACTAGGTATGTTAGAAAGGCTTAGAAAACCGCTAGGGGGACATTCTGAGCTTCCGATTGGTTATTCATGTTATATATAGAAGTATGTATTTATAAGGGAAGGAATTGAGCAGGGTGCCACTATGTTTGATTTACTACATGAGCAATATCTTAGCAAATAGAAAAGATAAGACCTTCTTATTTTATATTCTAGTTTGTCAATATCTGTAATTTGAGTTTATAATTTGTATTAAACTATATACTTAGTATTTTGACTTCACAAACATCTAATTTGAA